AGACACATTTTGTTTTTAAGTAGATTTATAGAAAAAAAAATAAAGTGTAAGAATATCTATGAAATGATGTAAATATCATTAATGAATCAACTTGAAAAGTTTTTCATCTAGGATATTTAAATAATTTCATTGGTATTCCTTTTTTTTTTTCCTTTACAATTGACTTGAAAATAGCCTTTTGTATTATTATTATAATATACTAATAAACCATCCTAAGTTGTGTATTAAAACAGCAAAAACATTTAACTTGAAATGACAGTGGAATTTAATGTGTGTGCGTGTATATATATATATATATAAAATGTAGGAATATCCCTTCTACTCTAATTTAATAAAAAAATTGGATAATCAAAAAATAATATAATATATTATTATTAAATCCTATTTAAATTACTAGCCATGAATAACTTTTAAATTCAATTGTTAAAAATGATAGCATATTGAACTTGCTAGTGTTTTACGCAAGAAAAGAAAAATTCAATTTGAAAAGAATAACTTGAACTGCTTGGCTTATCTTCAACCAATCTATGTAGGTGATTTATTTTATGTTTTGACTATACTCTTAACTGGCAGTGGCACGATCCTCACGCCGAAAATGTTAGATTTCGTGACGAACTCGAGTAGTTAATAATTGGTAGCATACGATGTAGTTAGGATTGATTCTGTTTAGATTGAGAGAGAAGCCGATGGTTTCTTGCGATTTTTATTTAGTATATGTAAGAGATGAATGAGAGTGATTAAAGAAAATAAAAGGTTAACATCAAGAGAGAAAAAGGATCATATGTTGGGCTTCAGAACATGTGATGCACGGTGGTATTTTTAGGTTATTAAAAAATTCTAATTTATTGATAATCTTAAAGTGAGGGGATATGACGTTCGAAAAATAAGAAGAAAGAAATATTTAATTTAAATATAATTATGAGTTGCTTAATTGGTTTTACATTGAATGCCCATTATATGTTTAGTCTTACATGTAATTAAATATTTATATACTATTAAAGTAGGTCCCATTCTCATCAAACTCGTTGTTTTTAACTTAGATGACAAGTTTTAAAAGATTAGATAAGGCCTTTATATGTACCATACCATAAGGGTATAATTAGGTTTACTTGATGAACAATTCAAAACTACACACATAAGAATAGGCCCTAACACGTGGTTTCCATAAAATCAAAACATAAAGAAAAGCTTTACTTAAGATTTTAGGAAAAATATTGCCAAAGGCGCTAGCTACATCCTTAATTTATTTTTTTATAAAGACAAAAAAGATTTAAATTCAACTATAGCAAAATAAAAAGCCATCTACTTAATTGATTTCTAGTTCTACCACAGCTACTGACAAATGTTGTAACATATATTACTAACTAGTTAGTTTTAAATTTTATAATTATTTTATGTTCAGACTCACATGTTAAATTTTCATTGATACCAGAAGTAGTGCAAGCACATGATGCATCAACCGGTAGCTGCGTATAATAAACCTTTTTTTTTTCTTTAAGTAGCTTTCTTAATATTATAATTAAAAAATAATTGATTATAAATGTTGATTAACTTGAGTTACAAGGCAATTAGGTAACCAGGATAAATTTGTCCGTGTACTTTAATTTATACTATATATTCAACCTTATTCTATTCTTTTTCGCTAAATATGCTGTGTGGTTCTAATTTTACATGTTTGTTGTTAGGAAAATAATTTGTATATATTCAGTTTAATATATTTTTTATATTTATTTTAATTTAATTATTAAAATGTAATATAAATATAATTAATTTAATCAACTCTTATATTTTA